AAGGAGACAGCGGACAGTGTAAAATATGAAAATTAAAATAATTTATGAATTATCAAGGGTAGAAGGGGCGGGGGGAAGAGGAGCTGATACCAATGGCTCAAGTAGAAAGAACATGTTTAGGAAATGATGGCAACATATGTACAAAGGTGCTTGACACAATGGATGTATGGAATGTTTACGAGCTGTAAGAGCCCCCAATAAAATGATTAAAAATAAATAAATGAAGATTTCTTTTTTATTACAAAACTCAAATATTGAAAATGAGTGCATCCTCGAGGATGCCAGAACTGACCTGGTGGAAATCACAGATCGCAGAACTCCTCAAGAAAGGGGTACAGGGATGGAACCACAGTGCTGAGAACCACACAGTGAACCCGGTCCTCCACCACAGCCGTGCTCGACACAATCGGATCTCAACGCAAAATATCAGGAAAAGTTTGCATTGGAGCTCGAACGGAACATCAGAATTCGACCCGACCCAGGTGATTTTTATAAACAGCAGCAGTTCATGTTTCGGTCACTGGGCGTTAGCTGGCATTGTTTAAACCTTTTGCAGCTGTGTTCCAAGCGTTTTACTATAATTTCCTTAGTTTTTTGTGGCTTTTTGTACTGTTTTTAAATATAAAACCTGAGTCCTAAGAAAGAGTGTTTTTAAAAGAATCGTCATGATAAGGAATTGGCTAACCATGTATCAATATTGATGATAATTTAGTAAACCCTTTTAGAAAATGCCAACAGAACACATTAGACAGAGACTTGTTTATTTTTTTAGAGAGAAAGCCAGCCAGGTTCCAGTGAAAAAAGGCAAAGGAAGGAAAAAACTCCTGAAAAGCAGCTACCAGTTGATTTTATGGAAGGAGATTCCCCTTCCAAACAATGACTCTCTCTCTCCATACCTCCTCTCCACATCCGTGTCCACAGATCCAAATCCTCATCAATTTCAAGGTATGGGCCATACCGTAGTTAAAAACTTTTTTAATGTTGTGTTTCCTATTTAAATTATATTCTTTAACTCTGAACTTATTTATTTTGAAATTTCTATGTAATGTTTTGATAAAAAGGCAAGGTTAGGGTAAAAACTTGGTGGTCGAGAACGGATTCATCTGTTTTCAGTTATTTCTTATGAGAAAACTGATTCAGAACTCAAGTGCATCGCATCTCAACACTCCTAGAATGGATTAGCATCGAGGTCCAGGGTTCTACTGTATCAACCTAGATGGAGAATGTATCAAGATGCAATACTGCTGTATTTTGATATTTTTGTTCAATACAGGTTTCTCTGATTCTATTGTAATACTTTTTCAACTTGTAAATACCACATGAAAAAATGTAATAAACTTAAATTCATTAATTTAAACAAATAATCTTTCAGCAAATGTCAGAAATTTTAAAATCATGAATTCTGGATTCCTGAGAAGCAATATTCGAAACCTTATTAAACCAACCTCATACCTTCCCCTCCCCCCAATGTCTCTGACAGATAGTCGTCACCTGAACTACTTCCAGAGATGAAGTTCCCACTACAATCTACATCATTTTAGGAAATGCTCTTCCACAGACATGGCATTAATCATCAACTTCTCCACTGATAGGGATGTGGAGGAAAATTCTGAAACTTTTTTTGAAATAAGTATGGGTAAAGGGACAGAACCCAAAAACCATCACACTACAGCAAGAAATGTTTGTAAAGATTCCAAGTTTTATTACAATGGTTCAAGGTAGTATTTTATCCACCACTCACCAACAACAAACCAGTATTTCTGTAAACAATTCCAGAAAGTTCAGTCAAGAAAACAAACAAAAAATAGTTATCTGTAATAATTCTTACACAATACTGTTTAGTGTTTACATGTCATGTGACTCCAAATACAATAAAATCATTTTCTAGCAAACATGGCAAAATAAGTTTACTTTGTTTGCCTATAAGCATGAGAACACGCCTCACAGTTTAGAACTTCATGTTACAATACTCCATGACATCAGTATCTACTCGTGCTTAGAACCAGCCAATTGTACCAAAGATCATAAAATACAAAATAATAGGAAATATAAATATCAGTTGTATTTCAAGTTTATAACATTTTATTTACAAAAATAGACTAAAAGGGCTTACACCCCATATTTATTTCCTAGGGAAGAGCTTTTTTGCTGTTTTCTAGTGTTTCTCTTCTTAACAATTTTATAGTGATACCTGAATTCCTTCAGAAGGATATTTATCAGCTAGAATTCTGATAGAAAGGAGGAGATAAAATTGGGGCATAAGAAGGGAGAGAGATGAATACACATGAGCAGTTGCTATAGAAATGGATCTCAGAGATGGCCTGGGGAACTCATGCAGGTGAAGTACAACATGCCCCTTGGACATGACACCAAATGCCAGTTGTGTACAGGACCAAGGTCTCGTGGGTTCTGAAGGTCACTTGCAGCACTACCTTGCCACTTGAAGGACTGTCTGCCGGTGAGCACTAGGACATGACCCCAAAGACAGGATTGTGACGGCAAATGCTGGGGCCGTACTCCCCGTAGTCTCTCTTGGTGTGGCACACTTGAAAGAACTCCGGCTACGAAAAAAGTCAAAATTAGAAGAATCGTGTAAATATTATAAAATAAAATTAAACAAACTATTAAGAGAAACTAAGCTTACTGAAAACCTACTTTTTCTTTCTTCAGACTTGAGGTAGAAATTGACCTCTTCAATTGAGTGAACTACAGAATTTCCTTTATTTCTTTTTCAAGGACATGTAGTTGTGTTGTCAGTGAGGATTTACACAGCAGTATCCATTTGATAATTTCTATGCAAGTTATTCCATGGCATCAGTTGTATGCTCCATAAAACATGAACATTTTCATTATTTCTGCTATCATTGTTCTATTTTCAATAATCTAGTTTCCCTGCCCCTTAATCATCTTTGTATTAAAGTGATTATTGGCTATTTGGTCTCATATAGGGAGCACAAGACTTATAAGTGATAGTCATTATTTTGGGGGTCAATTTTTAATTTGGGCAATAGTCTCAGGGCCATTCTCAACCAGTCTTCTATGTCTATTTTGTTGTTGTTGTTACTTTTTAATTAGGAATTTGGGTTTCTGATGTACATTTTTATTCCATTCTATAAAGGTTCATCTATGATGGGCCTGACTAGAATGGTCACCATCCAGCTCTTCTGGTCTCAGACGAGGCCATGGTTTGTGCAACCTACTTACATTGTAGACTCTTTTTTTCCCCTTTGAATCTTTGGTTCCCCTCTTCCTCTTTTGTTCCAAACAAGTATCTTAGATGTCCACTCACAAGCTTTTAAAACTCCAAATACTACTCATTAACTAGAATGTCAAACATAACTATGATCCACAAGGGTAAGTCAAAGATTATTGATATAGGGGTTCCAATTCACCTTTAAACATTTCTCTGCAGCCAGTGGATGGCTGCAGACAAGTTCTCTCAGTTCTCTCACTTCTCTTGGTCTCATTTGGGTGCCTTCAGAAAAGGGCCCATCAAAACAGTGACTTTGGATGAGGATCTGCTGGGCCAGTTAAATTCAAGGCAGAGAAGTCCGATCTGAAGGCTATGGTAGCTGTTTTGTGAAATGCTGTGGTACAAATGAATCAGTTGGTATGGCTCTTCTATCCAGGTGACTGGGAGTGAACATGAAAATAAGGTGTACGTATTGGAATCTAATGTGGGGACTGGTCAGTTCTGCCATTCCACTCAGGATAAAGTGAGCAATCTCAGAACCAGGAATGGACATTTCAGAACCACCAAGAATGAAGAGCCATAAGCAGTGTGTCCTTAGAATCCTGAGTTCCCTGTGTAGAGACAAGGCAACAGAGGCAGCAGCACTGAAAGCATGGGACAGAGTAGACCCATGGAACAAGTCAAGAGTGCCTGTAGGGAGGACACTGGCTTGAAGAATGGGGTGCTTTGGGGCATTTATCAACACTAAATAAGATTTTTAACACTTGCCTGAGAAAGGCAGAAGTCAAGGAACTGTGTAGCTGAAAAGCCAGGAACCAGAAAAAGATGTGCCTGTTAGCACGGCTGAGAAAAAGCACTATAGACAAAAGAATTGTCTCCCTAACTGTGTTAGAGGGGGTTCTCTAGAGAAACAAAACCAGAATGCTAATAATTTTATATATACTTATACAGATAGATATATGTATAACACAAGAAATAAACAGTTAATTAAATTATAAAACAGTACAAATGGCTCAGTGCAACTCACTCCCATGAGACAGTTGTGAGACACTGGCAGTCCTTCAAGTCTTGAGGGCCACCGGGTAGTCCTCTGTAGAGCAATTCAGGCTACCCGGGCACAGGCAGCAAGCAGCAAGGCAGGTCACCAACAGTCAGCCTGATGACAGGGTCTGACAGTCCTCAGCTCAAGAGATGTAAATTCCAATGTTGTGACGAAGCAGGTCTTGAAGGAACCCCAAATTACAGTGACACAGTCCACGGGTCAGGTGTCCCACAGGTAGTGTAGCTTGCCAATTGAGGCAAAGAACAAGCAAGGCAGCTGCACACTGGTCCGATGATCAAAGAGCAAGAGACAAAAAAGGCAAGGCTCACCGAGCCATTTATCTTTCTGCCCTTCAATTAATCCCACATCTGTTTATCGGCCAGGTTGGCACAATAAACTAACTACCTCACTATTATTTCTGATCCTGAATTGTAACCTGCTTACTTCCCTAACAGGATCCATCATCATGAGTATGACTGTGAGTTCCGTGTGGCCATTGCAATGGATTACTAAAACCCAGCAGGGAAGAAGAATGCTGAAGGAGAAACAGTTGGTGGTAGAATAGGGTAAAGAAGGTTGGAGGCTGGAGGCCTACAGAAATTGGCATTAGGCAGATACAGAGCCAAGCTCCCCTTCCAGTACTGTAGCTGGAGGAGGTCGGCTGTGACCTCCATGACACCTTCTTGCAGACTCCAAAGGAGCAATCTTGACAGCTTGTCCTAAAGGACACGAGATGGGGGCTGAGGGTGAAGAAATTTGTTAAGAAAACTGAAAGGTCCATTGGTGAGGAAAAAACAAGGAAAACTGAAGTGGGGAATTGTTTTCCAAAACAACAGTACATCAGCTCATTCTTCAAGGGAAGCAAGGGCTGTCCTATGAGAATTTAATTGGGAAACCAGACCTCATCCAATCTAAAACCCTCACCTTGCCCCTTCAGACTTCTTTTTGTTCCCCCAATAAAAAATATATTTTTAAAGGAATCCCTTGAGGATGCCAGACAAAACTACCATTTCAACATGGTATAAACTGAAGAACAAATGATTCTTTGGATAAGTGGTGGAGAGTTAAAAATAATGCCTTCAGAAGTGTATAGACCTAGAAAGGGAATATACTGAGAAACAATAGCTTCACATTTTAATGGTTTTCAATGTTTCTATGATTTCATAGCAAAATTTTTTTACTTACCTTGGTCATTTTTGCTGTTCTTTCAAAATTACGTATGCCACATCACTATCAACAGGTTCTTTGTGTGTGTATTTTTTATTAATCTCACTAATTTGGTCCATCTGGGTGTACTTTACGTACATTTGGTGTTGCTTTTCCCATCACCAAGAATAACAAGTGCTTACTATCCAGAGAGTAAATTCCTTTCCCAAGCCTACCACTAGTAATCACTAATAAACATTAGTTTCTGTATATTTACTTGCTCATGTCATTTCATAAAAATGAGAACATGTAATATTTACTACTTTTTAAATATGGGATTGACTTATTTCACCCAACATGGTATCTTCCAGGTTCATCCACGCTCCAAAGTGTTACAGGCACTCTCTTTCTTTATCACTGAGCAGGATTCCACTGTACATACACTGCTTTCTTCTTTTTAAAAGTCATTCACTATTTATTTAGGGCCAACTATATACTTGGAACGATTGGTTAGCTACTAACAAATGTGAAGGAAAAACTAAGAAAAACTAAGAATAGGCATTGGAATTAATAAGCAATCTAAGATTGTCTACATTATTTGGGGATTTCATTTAGTCACTCTATCTGTAACAACTAATTAGCAAGAACAATTGTGAATTAGTTATGCAAATTTAGTTTTTTTGCAACTTAAAATATTAAAATCTTTTTTATATTTTATAGAATTAAATATGGAGGACTTTCACATGTACACACTATTTAATCTTCCTAAGGTGATAGTCATTAAAACTCAATAGGAAACACCACAGAAATGAAAACACAGAACCTACAAAAGACTTACAGTTGAAGCAAGCATTGAGCCTCCAAACCACACAGCATAGCGCTGCATATGATGTGTTATCACCTGAACTTCCACAGGTTTAGGCTGGAAAATAAAATCATTTGTGTTTAGTTCAAGCAGAAAAAACAAATTCCTGTTATAATCTTTCAACTGGCGTGAAAGTGATTTTCTTCCAAGTGCAGGAAACATTTTAATGACACAATAATCTTTTTGACTACTGAATTATACAACTGTCTCT